TACATAGTAATACCCGTCTCTAGATATGACTATCTTCTCAGACGATTTCTTCAACTACCCTCCTCGAACAGATTTTTTTAAATCTGTAACTACATATGTAAGTGGATTCTATTTTTCTAAATTTTCTGCATCAGGTACATTATCTCTGTGTCACTAATGGAAATAAAGCAATAGTGTTTCCAGCAAACCCTTTAATCCGATTAATCTGGATGGAAGTGTTGACGAAATAAAAGCCAGTAACCCTGTTTTGTTTAACAGAAATAGAATAATGCGTTCATGAGCAGTTTATATATAGAAATGTTTAATACGTAAAAAGCATATAATAATTTATATTCAAAATATTAAAAATACATTTCACGTTAACTAAAAAACTGACAGTTTCGACGTAACTCGTTAAGACATACATATCAGAGCCGACTTCGAACAGACATAAATTAAAATACAAAGTAAAATCATTTATGATATCGAACATTTTATATATACCCAGACAGAATGTTCGACCGAACATCACGGAACAGGCGTAGCATTTATTTCAGTCGTAATATATAATTAATTAACTAGAATTCAATACAAGATAAATATGAAATATGAAATGAGATATTCATAGTGCTGTTACTAGGCAGTGGTCCGTGTGATAGTTAATACAAACTCATCGATAAATAAGCTTATATCCTGCGGTATTAGATAAACGAACAGATCAAGTGCACATAGCTTACTTGCGGTCTACGCAATACAATGAACCTATCAATTGTACACTCTTGTTTAGTAAATTAATCTACATACATATTCCACTACTGACACGTCGATTATCTAAAATTAATCCTTTACATAGTTATTAAAAAATTTTAACGTCCCAAAATAAAAATATCATGAAAATTCATTAATAATTCCCTATCATCAACTTTGATTTATAATTATTTTTAAACTTGTCAATAATTCGATTCAGTAAGTGGGAAGCGAAATAGTATATGGTGTGTATATAGAGAATTGAGCCGTAATGTGTTGATGTTAAAGTCTATGGTGTACGGGGGCGAGGTGTGCAAGGGATGCGCGGCTGAAAATGCACGTCTACAGGTTGTTATAGGATGCTTACTTCGAAAATTTACATAAGGGTCATTCGCGCTTGCACAGCGGCCCGGTCCGGTCATACGGTCGGTCTGACGCGTTGCATTCCTTGCACATTACACGAACTCGCTACGTACATGATGTGTCTCGGAGGGCTGTTTATGAGGAAGAATAAGAAGAGGGACGCTGACGTAGACAGCCTACCTTACGGGTCCGTCCTCATTATATACTTATTATGTGCCATTTATTTATTAAAAAATTTTTTTTTGGCAATCGATTTTTTTTTTTAATTTTTCGATTTTTTTTTAATAGTTTGTGAATGTCGTCGTAGATTTTGATTGAATTTAAACGTAATTTACTTTTATTTCGTTATTTTAATTTATTTTTGAGTTAAGCTCAAAGTGTTAGTTAGATTTTGTTTGTAAACCTTACGTTTAGCAACACTGTAGTTTTGTTAACACAGTCACAGCACTATTTTATTTATGTTTTGTCTAAAACCTAAGTTCTTTAAGTGAATTAAATTTACATTTTCCGAGTTTTCTTTTTAGAATTTATGTTCGACATGAATTTTAAATGCAATTTACAACAAATTCATATTCTTTTTATAATAATTCCACGGCTTTTTAGTGTTGAAAATTATTTTCATAATTTAATTTCATCTTCTTTTAAAATGAATGTAGCTAGTTATAAAAGAATTACCTTCGCCATCATAATTCATTTTATGAAGTCCTTCACTGGCTTTATAAATTCTTTACATTTTCTTTGTGATGTTATCACTGGGAATCAATTTATTTTATATAACTATATATACATATGTACCCCTTTAAAAAATCGATCCTCTTGACAATATGCAAAATTTCAGGACGAACGTCAAACAATGAAGGCTCCTGCATATAGGTATTCGGTATATTCTATTCTGACCCCGTTCCATCAGCATCAGCTATGTTTGATGAGCACAAAAGGATGGTTGTATCCAAAAACGATTTAACAGTTTCCAAATTTATAAATTACATGGAAACATTATCGCTTTGAAAGCCCACGTATTGTTTTGTTACCGTGAAATCTGACACCTCTTTGTGATGGCGAAAAAGTTAAATCAAATGTTTTCATAATATAAACAAAAAATTTCGTATAAACGCGATCTACGTAAAAGTGCATTTTACTTTAAACTTTATCCGTTCGCGGAAATGTTTATAAACATTTTACATTTTAAATCGTAGCCGGTAAAGTTTCCCGGATCTTTTATCAAGTCATAATACATTTAGAGTTTGATCCCGATGGAGGTTGTCGGAATTGATAAACCACCACGCCGGTCAAAGGATGAGTGGCGGAAACAATTTAGCTATTGATTCCAAGAACAGTTACCTATTGAAATTAAAAAAGATTTTAGCTTTTTCTTTAGCTTTGTCAAAGCTACCGGATTTACGGAGAAATTTTTATGAAATTTTTCAATCAGGATGAGCTTTGTATTTCAAAACGTTAAAATTATAAATATTACTTTAGTGTCATCATTTTAATAATTTAAAATACCATTTTTCATCAAAGTATAATGTTACCGTCAGGCATTGCACGTCCCAGGACAACTAATCTGCAGCACAGTTTATTCCGAACAAAGGATCCAGTGTACATAGTTTTCCACTCAAAAATATTTCCCATTTCAATATAAAATGAAAACTAATTTAACAACCGGCCCTTCTGTAAAGACAAGCGCCCGTACGTGACAATCGTCTAGGCTTAAATTCGATTATTTGTTAATCTTTAAACGGATTTCGATTGGAAATCTGATTGACGAGACCTTTCCACGTAGCGCTAAGCTGCCAGTCCAGTTATTACTTTGCTTTATAACTGACCTAACACAACAAATTGCTCTGAAACGTCGACCAAAGCGCAAACAGAGGTTTTTTTTTATGGTTAACGTATTAGAGGGTTCTCCCGAATTTATCACACCCTGTAATTCACTTTGTTTCAATCGTTCATATGTACGCGCCCTACCCAGACTTGAACAATGCCTGATGCGCTAAGCGCTACCTTCAGCCAACCGACTTGCCATCGGATGTTTTGTCTATGGAAATTAAATTGAACGTCAATTTATAAACAATTGAAAGGAAATAAATACAAAAACACTTACAACGGAAGAGATAAGTGAAAGAATAAGTAAAAATATATACTTAAGCTACAACTAAGCTATTGAAAGCTGTAATATTTATTGCCTCAGGATAACAAGAATTCTGAAATGAAATATTAATTTAAAACTGTTTAATAAAAATGCAATATTATTAATTCTCACAAACCAATAATTGATCTCTCTTAATTATTGTATTCGTTTTATAAAATTCTCGGTCTGTTTCGCGTCTTCGCTTGCATTATTAAATCAAGTATCGGAAAAACCGAAGGGTTCGTGGTTAGGAGACGGAGTGTAATCTTTATTGTAGACTTTGGTATTGTTTCACTGACTTATAACATTTGTCTTACATTTGAATCAATGATAAAGTAACTCGTATAATTCCCTCAAAATGTCTATCTCCTTGTATGTTCAGAACCAAGCATATTATTTACAGCATCTAAATCAGCTTTAGACGTCTATATCTTAATAAACACATCTCATCGTCTAGAAGCAATCAAATTCAATATCGTTCAATGTATTTAATACTCCACCCTATCTAATATAGAGTCGAAAATTATAATTACAATTTTAATCGCTAGCTTCCAGATATGCTTTACAGTATTCAATAGGATTGTACAGTATTTGAAATGTTATTGAATATACTGAATGGTATTAATATAACGCCCGAAAAGCTTCGGGATTAACGAATATGTTTTAGAACATGTTTGTGATCGTTTCGGGTGCAGGCACGCATGCACTTGTAGGCAATCGCTCGCATTCAGTGTAAATTTCATTCAATCATACACTCATTCACACGCACTCGTATCTTTACGCGCACACACAGACAGGACTACACACACATACGCGTAAATCGGTTTCACGTTTTAATAAAACTTAAGCAGGATAAATCCTTTTTTCATATTTTATATATCACATATAAATTAAAATTACACAAGTCCAATTAAAATCGTGTTCTTTTTGATATTATATGTACATATATACGTATTTCTTTTAATGTATTTTTTGGTTAAAAAATCAAATAAACCAAAAAAATATATATTGATTTTTTCTTGGATTTAGACCGTTTTTTTCTTATTTTCACCTAAAAAATTCTTACAGTGAGACTTGGTTTAACAATTCAATCAAAAATTCAGATCCTTTGTTCTCATTTACTGATAGAAATTTCAGTTATTTTCCATATATTTAATTGTAAATCTGTTCTTTGACGGTGTATAAACTGTTTTGGACGGGATTAATTCCTGCCAGCCTTACAATGTTATAACATATAACGCATATTATATATGGGACGTTAAATGTTCTCACCAGATAACCAAATTAATATGTACGTGAATTCCAATTTATATTATAAACATGAAACAATCATGTTATCAGAACAATAGTAAGAAATTAATTTACAACAATAAAACAATTTTGATAAAATTAAACGAAAATATATGTTTATTAATTGATAATAAATGAACTGAATATTCAGTGAAATTATCTAGTATTATATATGATGATTATTCGTATTAATTGGAGCTTGGACGGTAGAGGTGAGTGTTAAACGCGTTAAATAGGGGTCCCTTAAACCTACAGCTGGGTCGCAAGTCCCAGACACTGTTGAAGCTCCTCTCCCTGCAACGATGAAAGCGGCGCCCTCACCGTGAATACATTGAATGATGAGAATTTCGTCTCTGTATCTTCTTCCTGGCAATTTCCCAGTTTTAGCCAGGGTTTGCCTATTTCGTCTCTGTATCAGAACATAAAAGTTCTGTCTGGTTAAGAAATGCATATAGTATATAAGTGTATTAAAGTCGTAATTCGTGCGTAGGGCTTCGGACAGCGTGGTTGATATGATGGAGATGATATCGGTGCTGCAGTCCGAGCGCATGGACTCCCAGCGCGCGGAGCTTCGCCCCATCAAGAAGACCAAAGAGACGAAGGCCACCTCCCTGCCGGGCCTTCGCCCCCTGCTCACCAGCAGCACCCGCCCGGAGGAGGACTTCCTTGACATGATCGCTCGTGTCCAGGTAACGTGTTATACAACTATTCTAGGAGGTGGAGCCTAGCTGTGGTCAGTAACTACAGCTCGAATATGGGTTGGCTAGACCAGAGAAGTACCACCCTCTCACAGAAGATCGTTGCTGCGTTTCGTCCGAAAAGTGTTGGAGCCGGTTGCCCTTTTCCTACCGTTTCCTTATTCCCACCCAACAACCTACTTCCGCAAAAACCAAGGTTGGAAACGCATACACAACATCTCTTATATTGCGGATGTCTTTGGGCGACGGTGACGGCGAGGGCTTACTTGATGGGCTACTGCCCATCTCTCATCTGCCCATCCCTCTTCCCATACTGCCCATCCCATACTGCCCATCCCTCTTCCCGTTTGCCACATTTCTCATGAAAAAAAAACTTGAACTATCTTCCAAACACGTAATAATTATCTGCCTTTTCGTGAATAATATTCTGCAGTTAAGCCTTTAAAAGTTGCATCATCCAATTATATTATTCACAAAGAATTTGCATCATTTTATAATGTTTGTGTCTACGAAAATAAAACCATCTTTATTTCAAGCCATGTCTCGTATGGTTACTACTTAGTTTAAGCTTATAAAGGCACCTTTTGAAAGATACTGCATCTTAATATCCTTCCACTCAGCTATCACATAACTAAATATACATATGTTCAAGATATTATTATAAAATTATAACTACTACGGTGGCTTTTAAACATTAAAATAATTTTAACATATTAATATGTAGTTCTTTTTAACTGTAGAGTATTAGAAACTTGAAATTTTAAGTCTCTTTACTACAAATTTTACATCGTCACACTGCATAGCGTTTTTACTTCATTTATAAATCAAAATCTATACTATCGTCAGAGCATAAATGAGTTTCATATACGAATGTATAATTGTAACTCCGTATGTAACGGTAGAAACTGTTATTAAGGACGCTATTGAGCTTCTGAAATACTTTTACTCTATATGTTCATAGCACGTAAATATAAATTCTCTGTATATTTTGGGTAGATTTTAAGGGTGGGTGAAAACTTAGTGATTGAGGATTTTTATTAAAAAATCAAAGATAATTATTTCACGCCACTAAATAACTTTCTCTAATGTATAACCCATTTCGGTCAATGACCTTTTGCCACCTTTCCCAAGTTCAAAAAACTTCTGGCTATGTAAATCTCCCTACAACCTACTAAAAGACTTGGGCCTGTCCAGAACTCGCATTAATTCATTCTTGGAACGTACTTCGAAGGCAGCCCTAGTAGGTTCTTTTCGAATTTGGTTAGGTAGAGAGAGAAGCTTGTACAGTGGATGTGAGCGTTTAACTCTTAGGTAGGGACCCCTAAACCTACACCTGAGTCACAAGTCACAGTGACTGTTGAAGCTCCTCTCACTACAACGATGGACCCGACATCCGCGCGTTAAATCCATTGAATGATGAGAGGTTTCGTCTCAGTATCTTCTTCCTGGCAATTTCCCAAATTTAGCCAGGGTTAGCCTAATTTTGTTCTACGTAAAGTTCATTGACCTTACACCAGTACATCATTCCAGGGAACTCGTCTAGACGATCAGCGTTCGGAGCTGCCTCGTCCGAAGCCTAAGGAGGCTGTCCCAGACGACGCTTTCTTCAACCAACTGATGAGAGTTCAGTCTGGACGTATGGAAGATCAGCGGGCCAGCGTTAGTTACTATACTAATAATTACTTGAGTGTTACGTAACGTTTAATTTTAAGTTAACGTTTTTAAGTTAAAGGGGGGGGGGGGTACAGAGAAACGTTACGGTGCGTTACGAGGGGGGGTCGATAAACTTAAAAAATTGCGTTACGTAATACTTGAACGCTCCCTAAACTAAAACATAATGAGGATAATATGTTATATTATATTAAATTTTGCATCTCATGGTATCTTACATATATATATGCGCGTGTATGTGTGTTTAATAATTAAACCATATTTTTCAGATCCCGCTGAAATCATCCAACTCCAAGAAGTAAATCGAAGGTCTATCGGTAGCTGGACGGCGGACTTACTCTATAATCTATTATCATTTTAATCTACTTTAATTTATTATTATATTAATTACCAATTTCTGAACGTTTACACTTTTTTTTATTAAAATATAAATTTAAACTTTAATTTTCTCTTTGGACGCTTTTACTACTCTCAAATATTGTTTTTATTTACATTTTTTTTATATTTATACTAAAATATTTTCAAGCCGCCATATACCGAAGATACAACGATTCTAGATGTTTGTAATCAATGTAGCGATTTTATAATAATTTTTGTTTTTTATAATTTTTCCAAGCAAGAATTATTTCATTAAATATTAATTCTCATTCAACACGAATATTTTTCGACTATGATTTATTTAAAGTTGATTAATATTATTATTATTTTTTTATATTATTTTTATATTTTAATATATCGTGCTATTTTTATTTTATATGATAATTACAAGTCAAATTATGATTGCGGGCAGATTATATGCAACGGCACTAAAATGACTATAAAAAAATCAAGCCATCCTTTGGTAGAACAACGATTTATAAAATAGAAAAATCTGTATATATGGTTAGAAAAACTTATATATATAACTAAAAAAATAATTACAATTCTTGTTGGCGTCCATATTATATAAAATTAAGATTTCACAAAATATTTAAGGGTCTATATACACAGTAGTAACCTGCAATCGCATTGACTGAATTTAAATTTACTTTATAAAAATGAATTCCCCTTATATGATTTATATATTATGAATGATTTATTATAATTAATTTAAGTACATTATTAATTAAGTATATTAAGTGCTGACATATTGTTTATTGACGCTGAAATAAATAATTGCTGCTTTTGTCACATTTTATTTTTACTAACACAAGCTTTCACAGCGCTGCCTGTATTTTAGTTGACTCCATATACCTATTGTACCTAACAATTTTCGTTTTGAATTCATTAAAACAGACACTATTAAGTAAATAATATTTTACTTCCAATATATAATTACATATGTTTAGGTTTCAACTCTCAAAAAATATATTACTATTAATTATTAGAGATATAAATCCTATCTAAATAGTTATGAGTAAATGTAAAGAGTGTCATCTATATTGACACAATTTTATTATACACAAATTCTGTAAATTTGTTAATATAACTGTAAAAATCATACAAAATAACCCCCAAAATAACTATGGTTTTATAATCAAAATGCACAATAATAATTTATAATATGTATATTTTTTTTGTTAGCAACACCGCATTACAAACCGCACATATCTTTATTTATAAAAATCCACTGTATGTGTGTATTTCACTGAACTCCTAAGCGGCTGGACTAATTTGAATTAAAACTTTATGCACGCTTGACTGGGGAGTAAACTGTTGAATACGTGACGAAAGCGTTACGAAAAGTGTGATCAGGCAAGGCGAACGAAAGTTACGGTTCGTATATTACGATAGGGGCAACGGAGAGAGTACATTTTCTTTCTCGCTTCCTTTCATAGCCAGTGCATGAAATATATAATATGTATATATTTCTTATATCTCAATCAGTCGTTTGTTTTTATTTTTCTCTAGATATCATTCTAATCTTCATTCGAAAACATATGCATCTTATTTCTCATATCATATGCCCTTTGTTTCGGTCTTACAATCAACCATAGTAATTACTGATGTATAAGATGGTGAACATAATGAAAATAATAAATAAAAAGAAATATCTTTTTAAAAATATTAATTCATCAATGATAACCCATAAGGAATTCAAATATTTGTACCAAATTTATATACATAAATTCTTAAAATATAATAATAATATATGATATATGTGTAAAGGAGATCATTCTTTTTGGGCGATTCTGAAAGTGCCGGCCAACAAAAAAAAAATGGTACATATTCTTAGAACTAACCATTTGAAGCAATAGTTAATATGGCGCAATAGTTGTAGGATCCAAGATATAGAAGTTATACAAGTTCTATGATTCATCATTTTCATACTTTTGTTCTTTTCTGAAAGTGCCAGGAAACAAAATAATGATTGATATTGCTAGAGTTAAGCTTCTCAAGAAAATCATTATAGCGAGAAAGCCATAATCTGTTCTCTTGTACATGTTAGAAACCTGTCAAGTGTCATTTTTATGTGATACTAGCGAACCCAAGTCCCAACAGACGTTGTTCTGCCCAGTATCTGAACTCATCCAACACAATTTGTTTGTTTTTGGTTTTATGTACCATTTTTTTTTTGTTGGCCGGCACTTTCAGAAAAGGCCCCCAAATGTATGAAACCTGAATCATTTCCATTAGATGTGCACATTTGCAAATATAGATGGAGCGAAAGAAGTTTTACTTTAGTCGTCTGGTCTAAAGGACACTGGCTAAATTTGCGTATGCATTTCGGTGGCGCCCCATAGGATTTTGTTTCACAAACCATTCGGACAGATGGAGCTGGAATTCTAATTTATGTTATTTACAATGAAAAGGCTGCTAAGCAGGTTCATATTTGTATAGATTAATATACTCTATACATTACTCTCTGAAAATATCTTTGATTTTCACGGAGTCCCGGTGAACACTAGTGTAAATAACAATTTTAAAATACCAAACGCGATTATTATGTGTGGATTACGAAATTTTGCTCCGAGAGCGCCATCTAGGCAATGAGCAAGGAACTATATTATGGAATTTTACAACGCCCTACCCTGTTAATTGGGAAAGTGAGGTTTGAAACTTGACTTACTTAAAACATGACGTCAATTGACACCTTGCTAAGTTTAAAAATAGGTAAGTATTATTATAAATATTCCATATAGAATTTGGTACATTTTTTTTTTGTCTACAAAATTTAATTGAATAAATAAGATTTAAAGAAATGCAGCCTTTCATTGATAATTTCTGAAATCGACTTACAAGGTCAAGGAAGTGAGAAAAAGCTTCCGCTTGATGAGATGCCCAGCAAATAAGATTTGAAGTAAATCAATTACATCGACAGAACTGGCATTTTTTGTTATAAAAATGTATTTTAGCCTTTAATTTCTCTTTCCTTTCCTCGTGTTTTTGAAACGAGTTTATGACTGGGCTTGATCACTTTATGGCATTTGTTTTTGTTTATAATATTTTATATATTTTTACCTTGTTTTGATTAAATTCCGTTGTCTTAAGGTATACAGAGAATTTGTAAATTCCTATTGCAATTCCATTTAATATGTAATATGTATACTTTCAAAATTAAAACCTTTGGCAATAAATAAAGTCTGATAACAAGATGTTTCGTGGTAAAAAACGCAAAAGAAAATATTAACTTTATTACACCTTTTTACCATTAATTAACCGTAAGACACATTTTCCAGTTGTTTAAAGATATATAATATATATTATAATAGAAAAAAAAACTAAACGCAAATCATCAGTATTAAAATTTATATTCCAAATAGTGATTTCGTGAATGTGTTTATAAATTTGACTTTTCTTCTGAATCGAAATACAGTTTTTTTATGTGAAACATTATATCATATTCGGTTTTATTTTACATTTTGAGCACACATGAAATTGTATTAAGAACCATATAATGATATACTTATAAAATATGATAATGTTTGGTTCTCTTTTTTATTTTATTGACAAAAAAGAAACCCAATACAATGAAATCTCAATATATCTTGAACTAAATGTATGTTATTCAAAGAGGAATATAGACATAAGAAAATGTTTACAAGGGTTATATATTTTAAATAACTTATTTTTATATAAAGTTCCTAGTTTAGTAGCTGAGTAAATTTAATTTTGTTAATTAACGTTTCTGAACGAATGTAACTATTTTGACACTTTGACAACCGTATGACATTTCACTTGTAAATTGTGACTTCTAATTTCGAAGAAACTTCTAAAGTGCGAAGTATTTTTTATTCCTTTAAAAAAATATCTTAACGGCTGTATAAATTTCTGCCTTATTAGTGTTGTTTATAAGTATATTTATTACTGAAATTAAATTAAGTGTTAAAGTCAACTACTATTGCATAATTAAGTCACAGTGTCCATAGTTCTCACTAGGTGAAGAGTTGTAAAACTAAAACTTCTTGAAGTTTCCATGCTTTTTCACGAGGAATGGACGATATACGTCAACAGCCCAGCACTTCCAAAAGTGGCCAGTAAGTAATAAAACATTTGTTTACATTGCACATGACTACAACAAACTTTAAAAGTTTTGGCTAACTCATAAAAGTTACTTCATGCTAATTTACTTCGAAAACTTATACAGTGATAAAAGGATAATAGGGCAATATGTGTGTTGTTAGCGAGAAGTGGATAAATGGAATATATATGTACATATGAATTGAATAAACAAAATTTACACATAGAAAATTTTTGTTTATGGTTAAATTTTTTCTTAACATTATTTTAATATTAATAAAAAAATATATATACTTTAATATATATTTTTTTAGTCTTGATATTTAAGCACAAAAATCTATTTGAAAGTAAATATAAATTGATTAATAAAACATAAAATTATGATTCATATCTGCATTGAAATATCTGTAAAAAAATTATATATATATTTTATTTTGTAAATTTATGCACACCAGCAATCCGAACTGAATTGCTAACATTTATTGTTTCAACCTTCATCCACGAAGGTCACTTGTTGTTCTAAGGTATATTGAAAGATGTCTAACTTGTCTCTAATATTCAAACCTGTCAATTCGTTTAAAATTCTCAATTAAATGATATTGAATTATCTTTATTAGACTTGTTCTTGCACCCGCTATTAATATCATAAATATTGTCATATATATCAATTATTATCTCGTTTCATTCGTGACATCACTGATGAGTTATCAAATTTCAAAATAAAACAAATCGTTTATAAAAGCAATGTAATGTACTGTAATTAACATTGTTACGACACTTAGTTAATGACTGTCTTATTTCGTTAATATTCATTTAATTGACACAGTTTAATTTGGAGGTTATTTAACGGACATATAGTTTGTTATACATATACATATATATAAATATATATTTAGGTATATATGTATAACTAATATAAGTAATATGAATCCCTTGTGAGTTGTATCACTTGAAACTTAGGTATGCCTATCGTATAATGCCCAATTACAGTTTCAGGAAACTTTCTCAAAAACGTTCGGAGCACTTCAAGTTTAGGAAACTATTGAGTTATATCTCAATAGTTTAATATTGCGTCTTTTATAGAGACGTATGTATCAAACGATGTCATGCTTTTTGCGTTTTTCGCATATTTATATGTAGTAGTAATAATTGAATAGAATTTTATTTACACGTTGTAACTACGAGAATATTATATTAATGCAGTATAAGGAAAGAATAAAATACTTAGCGTAGAAAACGATTATATTTTAAATGTGTATTAAATATTTAATTTATGAATTATATACATATTAATAGTTTTGAAAGTGTTTTTGTCTTATTTTTTTCGAGGGAAACTTTTTTGTAGACAACCTCGTATTATTTAAAGTTAGACTGATCTATTTACTATAATAATTTTTAATTTTTTTGCATGAATAGAAATAATAATTAAATATAATCACTACTAATTAAAAATTCTTTTAAATCGATAAACTGTCGTACCACAAAATTATGTAATGAATAGTACAATAAAAATAATTATTTACTTACGCCTCGTAATGTTTACATATACATACATGAAACTGGTAATGAATATGTTTTCAAATGCTTAAAAAATAATAAGCGTATATGTTCTTTTACTCATTTACATGTCTCGTAAAATACATTTTCTGAGAAAAACGCGCGATAGAAAACTATAGGTAAAAATTATAAATCATGCATATTTTTACTGATATTACCGAATTGAATGCAAAAATCAGGTTTAGTAACATCATTATTTGTGCTTCTAATCCAATGACGTTAAATTGTTTGCTTAATGTAATTTGTATAGATTTTAATTAAAAAATTGACCATACACATCAACACGTGATCACGGTTGCTGTAAAGTAGCCGAAACGTCGGGAGTATGTACCTAGTTTTTTACAAAAATAAATCAGTGTAGTATGTCAGAATAATATTAGTTTAATTCAAATATACACAGTAATTTCATTGTTTTATTAATATTCAGTAATACAGAGTACACTCGAATCATTTTTCACTTATCAAACGTATAAACCCTCTCGATGTTAAAAAATGCGAGGCTAACGAGCATAATGCCACTAACGAATCTGACGGACAGATTATCTTGACTAGCCGATTGGTTTTGATATTCATGAATGTTACTAGATGCCTGTGAAACACACATTTATATTGAAAAAAAACTGAAAATATTGCATCTAAATGATATCCTATCTCCTTTATTCTTCAATTATAAGTATTACTTTGATAAGTAGATAAGTCTCATTTAACAAGCACAATTAAGATTTGATATTATTTTTTACATGATTATATGAAAAATATTAATATGAAAGATTCCGAAGAATATCATTAAAACATCTTTATCAGAACCTCGTGTGTTCAATTCAGACTATTTAACTTTGTCGTGATATAGACAGAAACATTTACCAATAATTTATAACTAATATGAGTTTCAAAGAAATTAAAAACGAGTTTATAAAAAAAATATTTATGTGATCGATTGGATTACGAACAAATTAGCTATACTCGTATATGACGAAAAAAACTTGTCCAGCAACTTTTCTGATTTAATTTATAAACACTGTTAATATTTTGTTAGCGTGTAGACAAAATTTTGGTCTGATCAAATGTTACTGTAATGTATTCCGTTGTCTTCTACAATCTTCCACAAGCTTCCTACATTCCGTATGCCCGTGGTCCGTGTTTGATTATTATAAATTCAATGTTTCGTTATGTGTATGATTTTTTATGAATCGTGGAATTATACTTGTATGTATGATGCATGAGACATCTTTGACACGTTACACAACACTGTATCTAGAACGATCTGAACCTAACGCGTCCTCGCTGAAACAATACGAGATATTCATTCATTATTTTGTTAAAAAAACAATATTATTTTCAACGATTTATATAGAAATATTTGATTTTTACAGACGTAATTAACTTTATAATACGGGATCAACCTAAATTTATGTTTCATTTGTTATAATAAGACGATGCCATGTGATTTGAGTGAGCTGCTCTGTTTCCAGGTAGAGCTACTAGGCGCAGAGGCAGCAGCCTCGCGCCATGACGCGTTACGGACATGGCAGGTATTTATTTGACAGATTCAATGTTTACAATACCGTTTAATTGACAGATTTGTAAACCGTTCAGCCGTGCGTATAGAATGTGACATAACAGTACTTACGTCTATTCAATTTAAAATGATTATAATCAATTTGATTTTGATTATATGTTAATTTAGAATACGATGAGCTTATAAAGTTAGATTATAAATACTTGCATTGCTTATGAAAACAGAATGTGTTAGATATTTTTACATATTGTCAAATTGTATTGAAATCATATGAGGTATTATTTCGTGTGTCGCAAATCGTCTGGAATCCGATCGACTTCCTTTGTTCACTAAAAAAATGATTACAGGATGGGTCTGATTGTATAATGACTATAAATTTGCGAATTTGGTAATTCGATTCATGCATCAGTATCGGCGTACTTACTAAGAAGATATAAAAATTTCTTTTAATCGAATAATGATAAAATGAAATTGAATTGACTGAAACTATGACTGTCTCGGATATTATAAAAACCTAACAAGCTATAATAATCCAATTTGTTTACGAAATGTGCGACTAATCTGTGATCTTGACCTTTGTAGATAATACTATATTCCTCGTCTTATATAGGGTGCGCCAGAGAAACTTACTTATTTAAAAAAAATCCCGCGCGGTGAGTTGGGCGGGTAGAGGGGCCAGAGAGGGTGCATCTGGAGGGGGAAGTTCCCAAGTTTGTTTCTCCCTCCAGTCAGCTGCCATCATACTCTGGTTTAGAGAGCAGCGGGCCTTCGCAGTTGAGAGCCTCTTTTCTAACGGTCGCTCGCTCTCGCGCTCGGTTTGAAATTCCACCTCACAGACTCGTTCCTGGCCGTAATTCGATTCTGTCGTGGGTTAACTCATTTCGGGAGTGTGGAAGTGTCGCTAAATCCAGAAATGGACTTCAACGGACCATCAGAACTCCGGAAAATATCGAAAGAGTGAGGCAGTCAGTGGTGCGTTCTCCCCGGCGTTCGGCTCGCAAACACGCAGCTGCTATGGGAATTTCTGATACCACTGTTCGACGAATTCTCCATGAAGACCTTCAATTTCATCCCTATACATTGGCTGTTGTGCAAGAATTAACTGAACGCGATTTTGTTGCCCGTCAAAATGCATGTGAAATGCTGATTGACAACCTGCCTGAAGACGCGGTCGTTTTTTTCAGTGACGAGGCTCACTTCCACATTTCCCTGGTTTTGTCGATCGACCACGGACCATAGCACACCTCAAGAACAACATTCGCGACGCCATTGGCAACATACCGATTGATATGCTGCGAAGAGTGGATACGAATTTCAAAAATCGACTTCATCAGTGTATGCGCCATGGGGGTCACCATTTATCCGATGTCATTTTTAAGACTGCATGAAAAAAAAATTGGGATATTGTATTCTCATATAAAAAAAAATTTAAAACAATCACTGAAGTACTTTTTTTTTAATTGACCTTTCAAATAAGTAAGTTTCTCTGGCGCACCCTGTATTAGTAGTTGTTCTGGAAGGAGATTCAAGTAACTTAATATAAAAATCTCTTGAAATTCTTTCATAATAAACATGTCAGAGATTTTGTTTTTAAATCAACGGATTTAAGATAAATGTGACGACATATTATCATCGTGAAATATTCTAAATATTTCGCGAAAACTGGTTAGTTAAAATAACGACAGGGTCAAGGTCTTGTGTGGTACGAATTTGATTACACATATTATAGCTGTTCTGTTACTTTGTATTCATTGATTTCTGAATAAATCGCTTTCTGATTAATTGAATTGCAATAACTTTTTTAACTTATGAGCTGCTTGAAAAATAGGATTTTTTCGTAAAGTGAAACTATGTGTAAGTTACAACCATAATTCGGCTTAGCTGTTTTAACGGGTAGTCCCGGAATATTTAATTCTGACAGATATTCCTTTAGACTGGATGAAGTGATAAATCTTATGTTTTCTTTTAAATTTATTAATAGTTTTAACTCTGTTCATATTTCTCTACAATTATTTTTCTTGTTATCATATCCTTTCTTAAGTGTAACGTATGAAAATATGACGTTATAGGATCAGTTGAACAAATATATACGTAAAATGTATTATTAACCGGTCGCTGAATAAATGCTTTGTTTTCAATCGGTCTCTCAAATATAACTTCTCGTGTAGTTAGGAAGTCTTGAGAATTTCATAGGTTTCCTTTACATACAATTATGGCATTTAAATATATTATTCTTTAAGATCTAAAAACGTTTAAACGATTTCTTATCTTATTGTAAACTAGCTTTCCGCCCGCGGCTTCGCCCGCGTGGTGTTCGGTTATATCGTGTTTCCAAGAGAACCAATTAAAAGTCTGGGATAAAAACTACCCTATGTTCTTTCTCAAGGTCAACTCTATGTCTGTACCAAATTTCATTACAATCAGTTCAGTGGTATAGGCGTGAAAGCGTAACAGACAGACAGACAGACATGTTTACTTTCGCATTTATAATATTGGTCGGGATAAATCTTTCAGTAAAAGCTTCATAACATAACAACTTTGCAGGCATACCTACAGAGGTGGACCTCTTCGGTAGACCGTAGCGTGTTTGTCCGGCTTTATCTAAACTTGTTCACGCATAAAACATTTTTTGTCCTAAATCAAGATTAATATCGTATTATTTCAATAATGTTATAAGGCTCCTGTTTTTTGATATACGTACACATCTACGTCATATGTGGGTTATTATTTGAATAATATTATGTAAGAAGTTGTGTCATCTGTATCTGTGAAACTTCAAGAAATATTTTCTAAATCAAACTTGTAGAACTGGCCCTAGTTATAAATACTAACTTTATCGATTCACGTCATAGTTATTCCATAATTCTGAATCAAGCCAACAATCGCTCAGAGTTTTTCATTCACTGTAATCTCAAGTAGATAAGCGTCCATTTGATTTTTTTTTTACTGTTTAAACCAAGTGTGCAATTATATACCTGAAATCTGTCTAGATTTTCGATCTCTCTCTCTTTCTCTCTCTCCATTTATGTATAGAAGATAAAATCTCTCTGTTAGATCACTTTTGTCTATCGAAGTGTAAAACTTTTCTATATTATGGCAATGATTAATTAAGTTTTTTGGGCGATTATTGTAGACTACAGTCATGTCTCAGTTCCAAATCTTAATAAAAGTAATAGATTCTGAATCCTGGTATATTTCTATGACTTGTTGTGTTAGTTGTCTCTCGCCTGCGCCAGGTCACCTGTTGCTATTGTCTGCAATGCTTATACAGGGTGACTGGTGAATTACTATCAATATTTAAGGAGAATACTCGGTACATGATTCTCATTCGAATTATGTAAAAAAAATAGGCACTTAATTTTTAACAAAATTTCTGTATAAATAAATAAAGTGCGGACACGTTCCAAGTGTTCCAAGTGTGGACGCGTGCGGCGGCGTGCTGATACAACACCACGCCGCCGCGCGCGAGTGTGTGTGTGTATGTGTATACCTAATCTGTAGGGTGTTCACACGATGCGTAATTAATTACATAACTTTTGGTTAACTTTACTTAGAAGTTTATTAATATTTATGTTATATTAATTTTTATTTTGTCATATATGATCGTCAAATATCACGTCCTCAAATATCGATAGTAATTCACCAGTCACCCTGTATATTGTCACGTTTTAGATTCCTCCTGTAACTTCAAGATGCACGTTGGTATTAACAATTCACTCTTATTTGTAAATCATCCATTTATTTAAATGTTCACAAACAGTTCTTTACTCTCGTTTAATTACATATAGATCTGTTTTTAGTCCTAAATCTGCATATAAATAGGCATATCGTGATATAATCACAGGAATATGTTAATTATTGTATTAGTAGAAGAAACCTCTACCAGAAATAATGTCTGAAGGGGAATCTTGAAACACAAAAAGAATTAGTTTACAATAGACTTACGTTACATACGTCAAACAAGTATAGATTTTCTCTTAACTAAAGTTAATTATTCAAAGAAATTTAAAATTAAGAAAGTTAGTCTTTGTAACTTAGGGAAAAGTTTGGGTGATTGATTTTATGAGTATTATTCAAAGCATTATCGCTATGATATGTGATAAACATTAAAAGTTACGCGGATACACACAAAGATATTCAATGTTCAGTGTTATATGCGGAACCGTAAAAATTCTAGGTAATTACGATGGTCATAGAATTGAAAAATTCTCCGTATGATATTTTATTTTTCGTTTTGATCGACTGTTGTATTTGTTTATTAAAATATTAAATCTCGATTTCCCCGCATGAAATCCGATACGCTTCTTTCAACCTATCATAGGCTGTACTAGGAAATGTTTTCAGTGGCTCCGTCAGTTATTACTCTCTTTGTTAGAGCTTTCAAAAATATAACGAGTATCACATTCAAATAACTTTTATAAAAAATCGTATTAACGAATTCGCTGTAATCGTTAAGCCTCCATGTGTGGCAAAAGCTGTACGAAATACGAACATTTTCATTCGAACTTGCTTTGAAATAATATCTTTTAGTATACACAGTAGGCTTGCGAGTACCTGGTATTATAAATCCAATTATTATTCCTCATCAAAATCATATAATAGTTATTGTGTAACATTTACCGTCATCGGTTTGAACGGAAAATTTCACAAGGTTAAATCTAACAGGTCAGAATTATCGTCCTTGGAGATGTAATTTGAAATTAATAGATTAGCCAAAACTTACATTATTCACATGTAAAGATATAAGAGTCTTCTTTAATATATTTAAAATATAGTAATAAATAGAAAAATATTTTTCTTGCAATTTACAAATAATATAAAAAAAAAAAAAACAATTTAACTTAAAAATATTCTTAGACACAGCTATTCTTAAAGGATAAGAATATAAGCAAAAAACAATGTCATGATCACAAAGATTAAATGTAAATTTTATTAATTATTTAAATCAATACTAATTGCGTCACAGATTTCTCAAGAATGATACAATGATGTCGGGAACCCAGCGCAGATATTACTAAGATTATATTCTGAGTCGATAAAGTATAACGTGAACAAAGATTTTCTCTTAAAAGTACCCTTCCAGAAGGTTTCTTTATAATTACTGTTTTTATATACCTCTATAATGTATGGAGGGATGATAGAAGGTAGAAAGAAAATATTTGAAAATCAATATCGCTAAACTTGAACGTCAATTAAATATCATTTATATCTAACAAATCCTATAAGTTTATATCCAGTAGTTACTCATCATTTTCGAAAATTATTCTTTTCTGTTCACAGTTTTTTATACTTATATCAAGATTTATACGCTGATGAATTACTCTAATTTCTTCATATGAAACAATGTCCAGAATGCATTCAATCCAAGTTTTTGCATCCATATATTAGAAATAGATTTTACACTGCTTGTTAATTTTTATATAAAACAATATTCTTAGATGCTTAATTAAGATTTAGATCCGTAATTAATTTTTAGTCTACTATTGATATCTATAAATATTTTAAGACCAAAAAATTGACATTATTTCTCCCTCTGCCTAGCCTTATCCCATTTCACTTGGGGTCGGCTCTCCTGGTCATTCTTCGCCAGGTTGGTCTAGCTTGGATGGTCGAGACATCAAGTTGAATTTCCATTAAGTCCTTGTTTATACCCGACATCCAAGTTAACAAATAGATATTATATCAAATTAAAAAAATTGTTACTAGCAAGAAAAAAATTGCAAAGTTTAAATTAAACATATAATTATATGTGTCAGGTAAGAAATCCCCTTTTTTATCATCTCAATGACCATCTCTAGATTTTGTATCAAACAACATCTACCATATACACGCCGCCGCACGCGCGCGTGTGTGTGTGTGTGTGTGTGTATACCTAATCTGTAGGGTGTTCACACGATGCGTAATTAATTACATAACTTTTGGTTAACTTTACTTAGAAGTTTATTAATATTTATGTTATATTAACTTTTATTTTGTCATATGTGATCGTCAAATATCACGTCCTCAAGTATCGATAGTAATTCACCAGTCACCCTGTATAATAAACGATGCAATTCAGTCTTACATTACATAACTTTGAAAGTAAATCTAATTTATTACGAGCAAGTTATCATATAAATATGTATTTGATAAGTTTCATTGATAAGATTGTAAATGATTGTTGAAGGTGAAAGAGAATTATATCGGAAACTTCATTTATTATATAAAAAATCATTTTGATAAAATTTATTTTATGTCAATTAATTCTTTTCCTTTGTTTCATTTATTTAT